AAAGGTGATTGGTTAACATAAAACATATTGATAGTAGAATGTAAACAAGCTCTTACTGATTATATCACATATTCTGATGACATCATTGGTGATAGAAAGAGAAATTAAAGATATGAACTTCTTCACTCCTCCAAATAAAGTTTAACTAAAGCAAAGAAATTATAAGACCATTAGGATAAACACTAAATTTCCTAGGTGATGAAAAGGTGGTTATTTGTTTAAGCTGAGACCTTCAACTTCTTATCATCTTGGTCAAGCAAAGTACATAAAGGAGATTATTTCCTTATCCCGATCAGGCTATAAGACTAAAAAGCAGAGGAATATAAAACACTGCCCTTCTCTAGGATGAAGAATGCATTTCTCCAGATGTTGTGTAATAATATCACAATTAAGATGAATATCAATAAAATTCTTTTAACTAGATATAGCTACTGGAAGATATCGGGAGTTACTCAACAAGACTGAAAAGCCACATAAGAATCTGGGGTTCACCATTAGTTATCTTCTCTATGTGGGTGGATACAAAATAAAACTGAAAGAAAGAAAGCATTGAGCAAGACACTGGATCCAAGTAGGTGATAAGTACCTTAAACGGTCACAAGAAAATAATTAAGAGTATGAATAAATAAGTTTCTTAGATGGTTAGAAAGTAGAAAGATATCTCAAAAGGATTGACTTCTAATGAGAAGAAGTTTTTAGCAGAGGTTCTTTGGAGAATATAGAGTATTTTTAATTTTTTTTTTCTTTTTATTTTCATGTAAGTGCATTTGCACATTTTTAGATATTCCCTTTCCTTTTCTTTTTCCTTTCCCCTTTTATAATTTCTCAAATTCAGTTTCTTGAAGGATAATAAGCAGTGACAACCTGCTGGCAATGATGGGTAAGTTAGGAGGGTCTTTACTCAAAACTTGGTCCAGAGTAAAATATTGTTTCCAAGGTTGCACTTAGAGACTGAAGCTCTTCTGAGAATTGAAAGCTATTGATAAGTGTGTCAGTATGAGTCTTTTAGTTTAGCCATAATGTAATTGTCCTATATATCTCTATCAGTTTTGTTAATGATTAATAAACACATAGTACTGGCCTGACCACAGGTATTAAAAAAAAAAAAAAATTAAAAATATATTTATAAATTATTTAATATTTTAAAAAAATATATTTTTTTTTTTTTTGTAATTTTTTTAATAATTTATCAAATACTGTATAATAAAATAAAAAATTTTTTTTAATTTAAAGTAATAAAAAAAAAAATAAAAAAAATTTTTTAATTCTTAAATTTATTTAATAAAAATATTTTTAAAATTTTTTTTTATATTTAATATTTAGTAAAATAACCATATATTTTTATTGTAACTATTCAATTTTTTATGTTATTTATTAAAATTTGATATATTTTATATGAAATTTGTAACTAATATTTTTTTACAAAATTTTTTAATTCAATGAATTTATATAGTAAAACTTTACTTATCAGCTATCAAAAAATTCTTTCTATTGATTCTCTGACCATACACAAAAAAGACATTTACAAGAAGTTTTTATACTTTTATGCTAATAAAGTCTTATTACTTTCTTTAAACCAATTTGAAAAAGTTTCAAGAGCCATTAACTACTTCCCCTCCTCTTGCTTACTATCTTCTTCAAACAAAAACCTGATCTCTAGTGATCAGAAAAGATTAAGAAATACCTTTCCTACCTATAACAAGAAAGTTCTGAAAGGAAGAAGAACTAATGATGCTATCACTTTACATTATAAAGAAACACTACAGAAGTGTGTACATGATGAGAGACAGTTTTTCCACCCTCTTGTCATTTGGCTACCTTCTCATAGTGCTCGTTCTTGATTTTTTTCTGGGGAATTTTGTCTATTTCAGTTTGATCCTAAATTTTGAGTAATACAAAGTTTTTCACTCTATGATTAGATGGATGGATCTCATTAGTAAAAGAAGTAAACAAGCTTTTATTGATCACCTCACATGTCTGAATGCATTTCCTCAGCTCTATAAGAACCTGGAATTCACTATAAGTCATTGGGTCTTGGTGCAGATAAATATAGAACACCTTTCTATCTACATCATTGGTTCTGCCAAGAAAGAGTTCATCTGATTAGGGCAAAGATCACAAGATACTATAACTGGTTTTTATAGTTGTAGTCACCTACTCCTGACCACTGAGTAGGTTTCTTCTCCAGTTCTATCGAATAGATAAAGATTTGAAACAAAATCCCCATAGCAAAGTTGGATTTCATGGCAGGCACAATATAAGGAAGGAAATTTTTATTTTAGGATGATATGTCTCACTTAAGAACTTGGTTAGGGAGAATTTAGGAGGATCGATAAATCTTCTTTCCTGGTACATGAATTAGATTGATCCGAGTAATTTTTGCTGACAACAAGCCATCCTGTGGATTGGAGCAGTTTGAATTTTACAATATGGAGATACTGAAAGCAGCTGAGGAACAGGCAGTATACCCTTGATTGATGAAGTCCTTGAATAATAACCAGTTTATGGAATCAATGTGGTAGTAGTAGCATAAAATTTTAACTTTCATAGACAATTCTAGGAGTGTTTTATTACAATTATTTCTTGTAATCTGTATTTTGCATCGATTTGAAATGTTAATAAAACAAGGCTGAGTCACCTTTTCAAAAAAAATAGTAAAACTTTATTAATAAACTTGATCAGATCAATTAAAAAAAAATTTTTTTTTTAATTTATTAAAATTTATTGATTGTTTTTTTTTTTTTTTTATAATCCATGATCAGGTTAGTACTATGTGTTTATTAATTATATAAAAACTGATAAAGATATATAGAGCAATTGCATTAAGGCTAAACTAAAAGACTTGTACTGATATACTTGTTAATGGCTTTCAATTCTCAAAAGAGCTTTAGTCTTTAAGTACAATCTTGAGGACAATATTTTGCTTCATAGTAGATTTTAAATAAATACACTTCTAATTTATCCATCATTGCTAGCAGGTTGTTACTACTTATTATTCTTCAAGAAACTGAATTCAAGAAATTACAAAAGGAAAAAAAATATCTAAAACTGTGCAAATACACTATATGAAAAGGAAAAATAAAAAAGAAAAATAAAGATGCTTCATATTTTTCAAAGAATCTTTGTTAAAATCTCTTCTCATTAGAAGACAATCCTTCTAAAATATTCTTCTTCTTTCTGATCATCTGAAGAACTTATTTACCCATACTCATGATTATTTTCTTATAACCATCTGAAATACTTATTGCCTATTTGGATTCAATGTCTTGCTCAATGCCTTTTTTCTTTCAGTCTTAATTTTGTATCCACCCATATAGAAAAAGATGTCTAACAGTAGATCCTAGATTCTTATGTGACTTTTCAGTTTTGTTGAGTAACTCCTGATATTTTTCGGCAGCCATGTCTAGTTAAAAAAATTTTATTAGTATTTATCTTAATTGTAATATTATTACACAATGTTTGAGAAAATATATTTTCAATACTAGAGAAAGACAGTATTTTACATTTTTTTTGCTTTTTGGTCATACAGCCTAACCAGAATAAGGAAATAATCTTCTTTATATACTTCACCTGACTGGAATGATAAGAAATTGAAGGTCTCAGCTTGAACAAATAATTACCTTTTCACTACTTAGGAAATTTAGTAACCATCCAAATGGCCTTATGATTTCTTTGCTTCAGTTAAATTCATTTGAAAAAGTGAAGAAATTTGTATTCTTGATTTCTTTTTCTTTCACCAGTGACATTATTAAAACATGTGAATATGATCAATGAAATCTTGTTTATATTTTACTATCAATATGTTTTGTGTTATCCAATCAGAAGTCAGATAACGTTACGCTATCAGAAATTCAAGGTCAAGTTGAAGTAGGCAAAATTTTTCAAAAAAAATTGTAAAAAACTATAGACACTCTAAGAGGGCAAAAGACAATATGTGAGAAAATGAATAATAAGCTTTTTCCTGTTTAGAAAACCTCTATCTTCATATTACGTCTAGCTTTGAAAGGTAACACTCCATCAGTTGGTCCTTTTACTTTCTAGAACCTTCTTGCCTTTAGTAGAAAAGTATATGCTTGAGTCTATTTGAGTCATCAGAGGCTCAAATTTTTGCTTAAAGGTGTTTGTAAACAAATGAAGGAAGGTAATAGTAACTTTTAAAGACAAGCTTCAAATTGTTTTAAGGAAAGTAGAAAACTATATTAGACAAAAAATATAAAAACTTCTTGTGAACATCTTTTTTGTGTATGGACAAAGAATCAGTGAAAAGAGTTTAATATTTATATATTATTTAAGTTATTTCATAAATATTCAACTGAATTTAAATTGGAGTTTTATATTAACTATAGTAAGAAAATATTGTTATTTCTTTTATAAAAGTTTTTTTTTTTTTTTTTTTTTTTTTTTTTTTTTTTTTTTTTTTTAGCTGGCTCAGTCTCCAGTTGGTCTTTATTTGTTTCTTAAAATAAATCCCATACAATATATATACAGTATATCATATTTATTCAGAAATTTTTTAAAATAAATCCCATACAATATATATACAGTAAATCATATTTATTCAGAAATTTTTATATCTTAAGAATAATTTAAAACTACGATTTTGTAAAAAAAAAAAAAAAGGAAAAAAAAAAAAAAATTCTCATCGCAAAAGGATTTTCAAGAAAAAAAAACATTTGTTGTTCTTTTTTAAATATGTAATTTAAGATATTCAAAATACATGTAATAATGATAAATGAGGTTAGCATAAACTCTCATTTTTTATATAAAAATAGTCTTCCATTTTTCTAGCTACAAAAATAGACAATAAATTTATTTAAATAATGTAAACCTGCTTTACATAAAAGACTAGAAATACGTATCTATCTAAAGTATCAATATAGATGACAGATATGCTTGTGCATACAGTAAATTTAGCAAATACGTAGTCTAGGGTTAGTATTAAAAACTTTCAAATTGATGGATTGGACCAATCACTTGATGAAGAGCAATTGCTTTGGTGACTAAAATTCACTTGGCAAGGAATCCATAATTTCCGTATAAAATAACGCTAGGTGGTCGGGAAGAGATTTTATGAACATTTCATCATCGGTCAGATCCATATTTCCCTGCCTATTCACCATGAAGGAATCGTGAGACATGTTCATACTTGTTCGGGGAGAATTGTACGAAGAGACAACCGGAAAATCTTGGTTATCAACAAAACAAATAGGAACCATCTTTTTAAAACTAGTTTTGACTTCGTTCGCCATTTCCCTGTAAAATTTTCTGACTTTCATCGATTCGTTTCTCCAGGAATTGCTGGCCATTTTAGAAATATTCCCAACATCTTGTTCCGCAATTTCACTACTATACACCATTCTATAAATCAGAAAGGCATTTGATGTCTTATTTGCATTATCGAGACCCTTCTCCATATGCATTTTAACTATGTCGTATGCGGTTATTGACGGCGGAAACGAAGGCTTATAATCTTGGAGGTTATAATTTCTTGGCATGTTTAAAAATTTTTGGAAGTTTGTTTATTATAAAAGCAAAAGATTTTTTTTCTTCTTTCTTAAAAAAAAAATATATTTGAAACCAATAAAGCAGAATATTGGGAAGGGCAAACCTTTTAATCTCTTTTATATTAAATTCTGAGATCGAATTTGTAATTATTCTTCTAATGTCGTGAATAATATTTTACATGGTACGTCGAAACGACAAAAGCATCATGCTAGCGATAAAGAAGTTATGCAAAATATCACGAAGGGAAACGACCGGATCGAATTCAAGTTCCCATTTCTAGAAGTATGATTATAACCAATCCTCATTTAACGAGAGTGTAGACAAAGTAATCGATTAATTACGTATTTATTTGTCATATGACATAAAATTATATCTAAAATGTGCCTATATTGTACCTATTTTAATGTTTATAGTTTCTTGGATTGCTTATTCGCGTCCGTGCTTGACTTATTTATCTTCGCAGAAACATCAAGACAAAGGAAAAGAGCCTTCGGAAATCCAAATGGGTGCCATTATATATAGATACGTATAGTTGTGACGAATCGCATATATAATGTGGTATTTAAACACCCTTAAACATTATACCAAAACTGGTTCCATTCCATCTAAAATTCATCCCGAATATCTCATTTATCTGAATAAAAAAAAACAAAGAAAACAAGATCCTTATTTAATTTCTTTGGCAAATGAAATAAACAGTTGATTTCAACATGTGCCATTCATCGTATTAACCATCGCATTAGCTTTCGACATTGTGTTGCAATATGAAAAAGTCGATTTTGTTAGCAAGCATGAAAGCATATTTTATATGTCAAAAATGTCAAATTTGATTAAAAAAAAAGCAATAATTGACATTATTACAATACCCACAGGCATAATTTGCCGATTTTTGCAAGATTGATTGATGAATGGCATTCACATGCATGTCAAATGCCCATGCATCTGACATGCTTTTTTATACTGAGGAATAGAACCTATTGTGCCTACATACATTATAATTCTTCGTAAGCAAGCATTAACCACAACGCGATACCTTTTTTTTCAAATAGGGGTTTTGTTTTCAATGGTTCCATTGATAGAATTTTATTTTAGCTATACCTGAATAAAATTTTTTTAAAAAGAAAAGAAAAAAAATCCTTTGGGTGTTTTTTAGAGTTCGTGCGGTTATCATGAAAATCACGTATGTGACTGAAGTATTTGATTAATAATTCACATAATATATCTTTATTTAGCTGCGTCTTCAGCCTCAATAATCAACAACCTTTTTTATTGCATCTTAGCTTTCTAGTCAATAATAACGAGCATCTTTCTTTACATATTTCGATACCTAATTCCTATACAGATACGTTTATTAATATAAATAGGGGACATCCCTAAGTAAAAAAACCCATGTGGGGATTATAAAGATTTTTTTTTTCCTTTTATTTATGCGGCTTAATCAATAAATACGTAGTAGGCTAAGCTCGATAAAATCATGATTCTCGTCTTCAATAAAAATCGACATTCTCTTTGGTTTTGCAGTTGGGCAGAGTTGTTTTTAGAAGTTTGATTAAGACTGTGCATCCCCGCTTGTTTTATTATACATATCGTGTATACAAAAACAACTTTATATGGATCAGTATATTTTTCGCGATCAATTAACCAGTATGTTGTGCGACAAGAAAATTGGGAACTTATCATGTGACAAAGTCAAAAATTACATGCGTAAATAAATACTAAAATGGTCTTATAAGATACCGTCCTTTCAAAACCAAAAAAGAGTAAACTGTGCACTTTTGAAATACTATTTATATAGCGCAATATACTTACAGCATATTAATGAGTTGATTATTTCGGTAACATAAAGAACTATTATATGTACCTTACTACTGTAGCATGTGAAACGATGTATTGTTTTTACGAAATAACCTTTAACTATGAAGAACATACATTTGAACAAGGATGTCTAATAATTTTCAATAGAATGATTCTAAGTGAAACTTCACTTTATTTTAAACAAGTGGTAAACACAAAATTTTCGTGGAAATACTTGGACAAATGAACTCAATTACTGTATATTGCCATAATTTTCAGTGAGATAACTATCCTTAGCGCACGAATAGTCATTAAAATCTTGAAAAAAAAAAAATTATTCCGAAAGCTATCAAATGACGACAAATAACCCGGATTCAAATCCCATCGGGATCTTGTGGGCTATTGATGTCCTTTATTAATACAATTATGAAACGACGGAATTTTATCTTCAAAAAGTATATACTCGTGCCACTTTAAGATTGTTTACTAATTTGAAATTTGTCATCGAGGATTGCATTTGACTCATTCCACGAAATACGTATACAGTATGTCTTAGGAAACAAAGTAATGGTTACTACTTAAAATCAGGTGACATTCAACATACGTAATGGAAGAAATTTTTCGAGACAAAGGTAAATTTTTTGATAAAGCAAAAGCGTACATACACATATGAAAAATATTTTCTTTCTCAGTCGTTGGCTCCGATGACACTCATATCAAATGAATTAACTTAATTATCACGTCCGAAATCAATATGACCTAGTTGCAGGAATGCGCCGGAAAATGACTACAGAGTGCAATCTCTAAATGAGCAAGTCTTGCAAACTTGAGTGATTTAATATTTGCATGTTTATTAAACGAAATTATGCATTAAATTTTTTTTTTCGCAATGAATAAATGTGTTAGGCTTTTGGAATAAAAATAATGAATTTGTTCTTCTTATTCGATTAAGAATTTACTTCAATGTGATGGATCTATAGTTTTACATCATTTCGTCGAAGAAATTCCATTCACATTTCCTGTTCTTATGTAGGGGGGTTTTTTTTTAATGAGAAACCATTCCTCTGAATATTATTGTTACACTTTGAAATTCTAAATAATAATAAATAATAAACAGGATTACCATAACAATACTGGAAATTTTAATATAAAGTAAAAAAACTATTTATTTAGATTTTCTAAATAATTTTTATTTTTAAAAAGTTTTTTTGTTTATTTTAGTTTAATATAAAACTTTGATTATACCAAATTTCTTGAAGTGAATTATTATAATTTATGAAGTTTGGGACAAACCTTTTTGCTCTCTATTTTTATTTATAATTTGTGTAATTTATATAGATTAAAGAATATAATGAATAAAATTACTTAAGAAATTTTTAAATTAATTATTAAAATCTAAGTTAATTTCAATTTTTTTTAAAAAAATATTGATTTTAAATAAATTATAAAAAACTATAATAAAAATAATTATAATTATTTTAATTAAAAAATTTATAAAATAAATAACTATATAAATACTGTATATAATTAAATTTTTATTTATATTATTTATTTAAATTTAATAAAAAATTATATTAATCTTAAATAAAATTATCCTTTTTAAAAAATAAATTAATTATGTTAAATACTGTATATTAGTATAATATTAAAAATTTTTAAGAATTTTTTATATTTTAAAAAAAAAATTATTATAATAAAAACTTTATTTGTTTATTTTCTTTTTGTAATATTCATAATCAAGAATTGAAAACATAAGTATATTTCTACTTTTTTTTTTTAATATAACCCTTTGTCAAGCTAGTTATGTATGCTTTATTAAATAATTGTAAGCTATACATTATATATGTGTCGCTAAAGTTAAATCTCTAATTAACTCACTTGTCAAAGTCTTATATTTATTTAGGACTCTAAGTACAACTTCAAGAGTGATTTATTGCTCCATTAGTAGTTCAAGTATAAACTCTTCCAACTTCTAATATCATCACCCACAGGTCACTATTGCGGATCACTGCACAATGTTCTGACAAGGATCAAAACCCAATCACTTTATCTTATATTTAATTCCATTTCTTATAATTTCTACCAGGTTTTTATTTTCCCACTCTTTCACTTCTTCTCTTTGTCTTGTGCTTTTATAATTAGAATAATCTTGAGGATCTTGCCTTCTTGCTTCCTGGCCTTCTTATATTTTGTACTTCTATCAATTTTTTGTTCTTATTCCCATTCTATAATCTTTTCACATATCACATTTCAGACTTGTTTTCAGATCTGGTTACAAATCTTCTTTTATACTTTTGAAATCCATTTTTTTGCCATTGTTCTCAACTTCTTTCTATAACTGTTTAAATTAACAGCTTCTTTAATTATATCACTTTCTATTAATCCTACTCAAAAGTTGAGAGTACTTGAACCAGTTTGCAAAGCTAATTCTATTAGTCTGGAGGTCCATTTATCTAATTTCCTTTTTCTTTTCTATTGTTAACTACTAGTTATACTATTTTTTTATCTGCTTCCCTCTTATGTTCTTGATACAACTTGTCAAACTCTTTAAGAAAAGTCTCAGATCCTTTTTGTCTAGCCTCTAAGATCTCAATCTTATGACCAGAGCTTTTTAATAAGTGTTCTATTGTTTCTTGATACTGATTACATGCTATATATCTTGCTTGCTTATATAGGTCTAGTCTTCTTATTACTAGCTTATTTAAGGTAGGTAGTTCATCATTTGTCAATTTAACTAGAAAACTTCTTCTTTGTAAGTTTTTGAAGAAGGTATTCCATGTGTTTCTATCTTTTAATCTATCCCATACCAGATTCAATAAGTAGATTTGATGTTTGCGAACTTGGTGATATCATTTTATCACTGTTCTGTATTTCTGTATCCATAATAGAGCTATTGATCTTTATTGATTTGCTTGATGAACTGTTGTATTGGACTGTCTATCACTTCTTCTTGCCACATAGTTTCTGTGAGTATTTTGCATAATTTGAGACTTTTCTATTCTATTGCTGATAGATTTAACACCTCTTTAACCAGTTTATCTGCTTCTTCGTTCTATGGATTATTAGAGTGGGCTTTAACCTTGGTCAAAGTTAGTTGGATATGCTTTTTCTTTATAAGATCTAGCATTCTCACCCATAATGATCAATTCTTTTCTTTTAGTCCTCTTTTGTGTGTCATTTTTGACTGATTACATAT